GAAGGTGGGGATGGACTAAAGCCCTCTGATTGCCTGAAAACCCATGAGTCTGAGTAATGTGCCTGGAAGCAGAGAGAAACTGCTGACCAAAACTCATCTGCCTCAGTAGTACTCAGCAGAAAGCAGAGGGTCTGCTCAGTTTCCCTCCGATTTCCATGTTTCTCAGAATTAAAAAAAAAAAAAATTGACAAATGGCTGAGGCATTATAGAATCCTAAAATCAAGGAATGTATCCCAACTTGTACACTTGCATGAAGTCAATTTTCATCATTTTCCCCATGCCTTCTAAATCAAGAAAGGCTAAGCTACAAAACAGAGTGCAGCATTATTTTGAAGACATCACTGAACTACAAAGGCATGAAAAGATAAAATAAGGATGATGTGTGGAGATTCTACTTCCTGATCCTGAGATAATTATTAATAAGTAATGAATAATAACTTCCTGATCCTAAAATAATTTTGAAAGATACATTTCCACTTGAAGCTAAACCTTTGAATTTTTCACCAAAGTGAGACATTGGGAGTTTCAGGTCTGCCTTGGCTTCAAATGTTTCCTTCCTTCTCTTCTCTACCAGAGATGATCCCATCCTACAGATAATCACTTACCTGTCGGGGTCACCTTCGGCATTAGGACTTCTTACTTACTGCTAAGCCCTATCCTCTCCAGTGGATCATAATCCAGCTCTTTGATCTGTGCATGAATATAATTGACGCTGTCAAATTCTTAAAGGTTATATATATTATGAAACTGCTATTGAAGCATCTTGGTGACAATCAAGTAACTTATATCAAGACCAAAAGCCCTGTTCAAAGCTCTGAAAGTGTTTTAGTGTTTTCTAAACATGAAAAATTTGAATGATCCTAAGAGGCTGCACAGTATAATTATAGTTCTCATACCATAAATACGTTTTGTTTGCCGGTTTTGAAAATAAATCATCCCAGGGACCATTCCTACCCAACCTCCACGTCTTTCTGGGACATAAATCATAGGAGATTGAAAAATCCCCCTGGGCCTGCTTCTTGTTTTTCCAGCTAGAGGATGGTTGCAGGCAAGAGTCACGTTGAACTGCTAGAGCTGTGGCCCAGACACTCCTGGAAGGAGCCTTGGCAGGTGACATGCACAAAACAAGGTTATCCTGCAAGATTTTCAGACTCCTTTCCTCCCAGTCCCACTGACATGAACATAAACAGTGGGAATATGCTTGCAAACAAACCCTGAGTTACAATATAGATGTGACACTATAGTTAGATCATAAGAGCTACCCTTTTAAAATTTTTACAAAAATCAACGTACCAAAAAAGATGTAGAGGTCCAGAAATCATCTTATGCAGCACTGTTTGGGAAGCCAAAAAATTTCTTTCAAAAGAAAGAAGTACACGCAACCAGGAAACGTTTTATCATGACTGTTCCCACAACAAGCATTTTGTTAGGCATTGATTATGGGAATCAAATATGTCCAAAATATTCCCAATTATTAATTTAAATGGCCCAAGTTTAAGTGTGCAAGCATACGGTTAGACTCTTAAAGGAAGCAGGTGTTCAAAATTCTTGCTAGAATTCTATAAACAAAGTTGTGACTCACCTCACAGCAAGGATGTATTCTAAATGATTACAAACAACTTCCTTGCACTGCAAGTTATTTTTCTGTGTGTTGCCCAGGTATTGTAGCATATCTAACTCATATCACATATTAGATGGGAACGACGATCCCTGAATGTTAAATCTAAAACGGGAGAGCACAGTATTTTTAATCAATGGTTCTGCTGCAGACTGTACCATAATAAACTCCAGTAAGCACACGCTGTCCCAAAATATTCAGGGAGGAAGTAGGGATACACAGGAAAGCCTATGTAATAACCAATTATCCAAAAAAGGAAGCGAAGTATTCCACATCTGTAGTGCTTTGTTTATATAATTAACTCTTTGTAACCTGCTGAATCTTATAAAAGTGAAATAAGTCATAATTAGAATAATAAAAGGGTGTGCTAACACATAAGTTTGTCCACAAGCATGCGCTGACTTTCGTCCACAAGGAATTTAATGGTATTAAAAATACAAAACCTAGCATTGTTACTGAAATTAAAATTTGGGGGAAGACAGGAGTATTTCGGTCACTAACTGCTGATGACTAAATTTTCCGTCTCATGCTTACGTGAATTTGGACGGCACTCAGGGCTCAAATAGCAGTTCCTCAAAGAACTCTTGCAGGCCCTCTCTCCCGAGTCCACAGCTCGTGGGTTCCAGCTACAAGGACTCGCGGCACACTAGGCTTTCTCTTCATGACATCTCTTAAACTGTAATTAAGTAATTAATTGTATAAGTATATAATTAGTTGTTTGATGTCAGTCTTTCCCTAACAGTATGAACGCTTTATGAAGAAAATGCCTGTGTTCCGTGCCTTGAATCAAGCAAACACTGAATAATTATATGTCGAATGAATAAATTATAATTACTGTTTCTTCTGTTTCATTAAGAGCCATCACTGAGTAAGCCTGGAAGAATTAAGTACTTCTTAATAAAGCTCTGCTAAAACAACTTGACTTTTATCATCAGAGCCTATGACACTCTCTAAGGTGGTCTCGGCTATCCCCTTCTTCTTTGCCAAACATTCAAAAATCAATAAGAACATTGTCTAAACTCCCAAATTCTTCCTTTGTACATATGTACTGGTAAAAGTGAAATTCATTTGATATTATTGATGCCCTTCCCAGGGCCCAGGAAAACAACTTCTAACTACTAAAGTGATTTTAGATAGGATATATAAATATCATAAAGCAAACAGTAAAATTTAAAACGACCCTGTGACATTTTAACATAATAATGTAATTGGCATTGCAATCACATTTGCTATTTAGTGGTTTGTCTGGGGGGCGGGGAACATCGTGCAACTCTCCTGCTCACTCTTAAAATTTGTTCCTTGTCAAAATGTTATCTTTTTACTTTTTACTTTGTCAGATATGAAAACTACGAAGCCAGAAATGGTGACGCATGCCTGTAACCCCAACAATTTGAGAGGCTGTGGCAGGAGGATCACTTGAGCCCAGGAGTTCAAGACCAGCTCTGGCAACATAGTGAGACCCCATCTCTACAAAAAATAATAATTTAAAAAAAAAATAGAAAAAAAAAAACTTAAAAAAAAAAAAAAGATTAGTTAGGCACAGTGGTGTGTGCTTGTAGTCCCAGCTACTCGGGAGCCTGAGAGATGAAGGCTGTAGTGAGCTATAATTGTATCACTGCACTTCAGCTTGGGCAACAGGGCAAGACACTGTCTCAAAAATGTATAAGTAAATAATAACCCTATAATCTGTGCCAATGAATGTATATGGCGGCTTTGTTAGTCTAAATCTCTGATTGCTTGCAAGCCATAGAAAGCCTTTCAAAGGCACCTCCAGGAAACCTTACGTACAGGTGTGGAAAAGAGCGTAGGATTTGGCCTTGTTGGGGGCTCTAAGGGCATGCAGGACAGCAAAGGAGGTAGCCTCCTGGACTCAGGAGGCTGTCCTGAGCTCAGGCCTCTTCAGGGAGATCTGAGCAGGTTCAGCCACCACCAACCCTGTTAGGCAAAGTCTTGTGTAGCCCTGCAGAGTCACTTCAATACAATCAGCTGGGACCAGGGAAGTGACACCATGTGGGACAGAGCATGGTTATCCACAAAAATTAATGAAAAAGTTAGTTGGGGCCACATAGCCTTGGACAGTAACCCTCTGGAAAAATGGCAAGAAGTGTGACTGTCCTGTGTTAAGAATCAGAAACCAGTTCCCTTCAAGAGTGATCTGATGACTCAATTTGGGATGCAGAAAAGTTTCCTCTTTCCTCAGGTAGAATAACAGGAGTTTAGATGTTGTCCATTTCTCTATTTTAGTTTACTATTCTCTTTCATGTTTGCTGCTCAAAACAGAAAAGGAACTGTGTATGTGGAGGGGGAAGCTACAAAGATTAAAATGCCATAACGTAAACACAAAATCAGCAACTAGACCCTTGGTTCTAATACTGACTTTGCAACTTTTGAATCTATTTTCTCATTCTGCTTTTCTTTCATTAGAACTCCGCAGCCCCCAAATACAAACATAATAGACAAAGGCCTGAGAATTTTGCTTAGAATGACAGAAGTTCACAACCGGACCATATCCAGTTTTCTGCCATAACAAAACTCATATTCAAACCCTCTGTATAGGAGAAGCATATATTAGTCCATTTTCACACTACTATAAAGAACTGCCTGAGATGTGGAAATTAAAAAGGAAAGAGGTTTAATTGACTCACAGTTCAGAATGGCTGGGGAGGCCTCAGGAAACTTACAATCATGGTGGAAGGCGAAGGGAAAGCAAGGTGCCTTCTTCACAAGGTGGCATAAAGGAGAATAAACACAGGAGGAACTACCAAACACTTAGTAAACCATGAGATCTCGTGAGAACTCACTCACTATCACGAGCACAGCGTATGGGAAACCGACCCCGTGATTCAATTACCTCCACCTGGTCTCTCCCTTGACACATGTGGATTAGGGAGATGATGGGGATTACAATTCAAGACGTGATTTTTGGGTGGGAACACAACCAAACCATATCAAAGGAGATTATATAAAGAAAAGAGCAAAACTTTCCCTTTTCACTTTTTAGTTTATTATATATGAGTATTTTTATAGAAAGTTATTTTGGTAGAAAAGTTGTTTGGTGGATATGTCACAGTTACCTGTAAAACTAACCTCACAAATGCTTAAGATAATAAAATTATAAGCACAGTCTATTTAAAACCTAAATTAGTTTTTGTCAGAAAAAAAAAAATCTAAAGTATTCATTTCCTCTGTGGCCTGGGTTGCAAACAGTACATTTATAATCGTGAATGGAAAAAAAAATAGTCTCAGAGGGGAAAAAAGGTAGTAAATTCTTCAAATAAATAACTGTGCTGCCTTGTAATTTCAAATACGGTGTGTTTAATTCATAATACTATCAAAATATCCATTTCATACTTACGGAATATAAAAACCAGAAAATCCAATATTTGGAGGAAGTGTTTATTCTATGAGATGTCATCCGCAAAGTTTATCAATTTACAATTAGGAAGGATTATGAGCCAAAGACCAACTTTTACAAAATAATACAGTAAGACTAGCATCCAAATCGCATAGATTTATGTGAGAGTGAAAAATAGGGAATCACTCACTTTTTCAATTATCGGAAGCGTAGGGGGGAAAAAAAAGCAATTGTGTTCTATGATAAATGAGCCTTTCTTAGCTGAGAAATCAGTTTCTTCCCATTTTATGTACTCAATTTGCGCACTTTCTATTCTCTGCTCCAAGCCATTTCTTTTATCTTACGAATATAAGGAAATTAGAACTGTACTATTGAGGACATATGAGGAATTTATTCTTGAAAGAAGTTAACTACAATGAAGCATTGTTGCAGTGCTTTGATATAAAATCAGAAAGATACTGAGCTTGGAAAAGCATAATACTGTTATTACTTACAACTAAGTTCATTTGGGGGAGGAAAATATCTTGACTGATTCAGCAATGTAAATACACTGAAGCCAGCACACACCTCTGATGTGATTTGATGTGAGCTGTCATGTTACTCAGACCCAGGGTATTATGAGGGTGCATTACTTACATCTAACAACCCATGCTCCAGGAAACCACGGTGAGAGCCAAGAAGTAGAACCATTTTTTTATATCCTGCATTTATTTAAGCAAACCAAATGTGTAGAGATAGGAAATTAATGTGTTATAATGTTTTACAAATACAGAGAGAAGACACAGAATATTAAGACCCTGAAGAGAGTGCATTTGAGAACACAGTTTTATCATAGGAGATCACTTGCAGGGAACACATTAAAGCCATTGCTGACACAGCCATCTGTCATTCCTGGTTTGCCGTCATTCAAGTAGTTTCAATAGCTAAATCGGTGATTTGCTTTTAAACAAATATTAATGTTAATGATTAGGGTAGCCTTGAAGGGTTTGTGAGTGACTATACTATACAATGTGATGCTAGGCTTAATATGTCATTTCAATGCTGTTGTACATTATGCAGGGGAAATAATGTCTTATTACACATTAACTGCGACATCCACTAAAATGTGAACTAGTTTGCATAGGTTAGTCCTTTGGGCAGCGCGATGTTGCTCTAGTCCACCAAGGCTTAAAGATTCACAGTGTAGAGGAAAAAAATATGAATTAAAGCATTTCTACTAAAATATATTTTAATAGCTGGTGTTAACAATTTGCATAACAAAAGCCAAATTATATTAATAACATTGTAACATTCTGTGAAGCCCCTTCATTTGGAAAACATTCAATGTTTTCTTCAAAACTGTTACACTCTCAAAGTTAGTCTTGCAAATTAATCATCAACCACAATTCTACATATTTTGAAGCAAATAGAAGCCAAACTGCACAATGGTTCAATTTTGATCACAGGTCAAATATCAAGTTTCACATCATGCCTGTAATACACCTGGTGATGCTTCCTAAATGCTCAGCAATTCATTGCATGGACACTGGAGAATGGGACTGTGATGCAGTTTTCTCTTTTCCTTTAAAGTACATCATTCTTAACAGCAACTGGATTACAAAGAAGTAGATACTATGCAAACTGGATACCATATATCAAACACAAAAATCCTATGGAATTCCCATGAATATACTGAAGTCATACAGACAATTGAGAAAATTTGCTCAAAGATTCTTCCAAGTTTATGGATTCAAGTAGTCTAAGCATCATGAAATAATAACCACAGAAGCAACATACAATGCCTTGACTTTTTTGATCAATAGTTGACAGTTAGTTGCCAGGAAAGGGTCCAAAAGGCATGGAATACTTCAGAGACTTTTATTTTAGCATCCTTGTTAGTTTACATAGCTTCTTACTTAACTAAAAGCTCTCCCACCTCCATATCATGTTACCCAAAACAACCACAATCTAGCCACTTTTAGATTATCAGAAACAAATCGCTAAGGTATAATTAATTTATGAAGTGAAGTTCATCTTGTGTAGTGAATCCAGCCTCATAATTATTCTATCTTACAATAGGCATTTTAAATCCCAAATCTAAAGTTAATGTTTATATAGCTCAACTGTATATAAATCCACAAAGAACCTTTCAGAAATAGCGGGAAGAAGTGGGCATTTTCTAAAGTTCTAAATCTTTAGAGATAAAATACAATCATCAGCTAACACCTTTAATATCTGTCAGGAGCATCCTACTTCCCTACCACAAAAATATCAATCATGTGTAATAAAATATTACTACAGAATACGCAGCAACTTTCTTGCTTGGTTTTCTTTCCAAGACCATACTAGACAAACAAGAGTAATCAAAAAGGCACCTATATTTGTATATATCTGTATTATAGTTTTGGTATATATTTTATCCACTTTCTATAGGGATGTGTTATTAAAGATCACACACGTTTTCTTCACCTTTTATTTAAAACATTCCACTGGAGATGGATGAACCTGAAAACAAGGTACACCCTTTGAACTTCCACTGTCTTTTTAGAAAAGTCTCGTTCCTCATTCCCAGAGTGCTGTCAAGCTCAGCATGGAGAAGAGGTAAAAAGACTGTGGCACATTGGAAAAACCAGATCTGCATCTTCTTCAAGAAATAAACCCAGTGGCCAGAGAGGGGCTGGTCTAATCTTATCCATATTCCTACAAGGTGCTTGAGGAAACTGTGCTTACAAATGCCTGTGTGGTGTATGGAGGTCGGGGAGACCTGGGATCATCAAGAGCCTCCTCCATGGACATTTGATAACCAGATAAATATTTCAAACTGGGCTACACTGCAAGTATGTAAACAATAACAAGAAGACATGAAGGATTCATTTTGCCATAGGTTAGAAATAGAAAGCTTTCTAGACAACAAGAATTATCAGTAAAAACATACTACAAAAGCTTACGACAAAAGCAATATATTCTGTTGCTATACTTTGCTTGAGAGAAAGAGAGAGGATCCCCATACAGCTTTGTTTTCAGAACCTTTTAAAAGTGTATCAAACTGTTCCTTGTGCTTCTGTCAGGCTTGAGAACACATCAAACTTCAGAAAGACAGGTGCATGCTCTCTGTGCTTGGACATTTACACAGTCATCTTTAACTCAATTTTTAAAATCTTCTTTAGCTGTCAGCTTTATGCACAAGATACTTGTTGCCCCATTGAAGGTGGGAGGGAAGGACATGGAAAGTGGAAAAGTTGTTCAGGCATGTAATTTTGTTTAAATGATGCTTTTAAAAATAGCACTTTGGTTTTATACATATACCTTTCCAATATTTCTCCTGAGATTCTTAACATCCTGACAAGCTTTATTAACAACTGCCAACACTACCAAATTATGGCCTCAAAAGCATGCAACATCTTGTTCAGTTTCAGTCTTCATTGTAAAATAACTACCCTCTAGTTGAATTCTGATCAGATCTTAATTCCTAAAGGCTTGAAGCAGAAATATTTTGCTATGCAAACACTATTACATGAAGCTTAAACTTTTAGGAGACTTATTCCTCAAATATGTATTGACTTTTATGTTCAGTGAATCTGGTTTTGAAATGGGTGGATGAAATTACTTTCCTGATTACAAGCATTATTTCAAGTCAGTTTTCATCGCGGTTCCTATAAATGTGCTATTTATCCCAAAATTGTACCTGTCCTACATTTAGTCTGAACATTTAATCAACAACTACTCTTTCTTATAATCACAAAAGAAAATGGCCTGCCCTGGTGAAACGTAAATATATACTTAGTAAAATAAAATTAAGCAGGTATTTTATCCTCAGTTTTAATGACAGATATTCTTGCAAAAATATTGCAAGTTCAGTTTATTTTTGTAGGGTTGTGTACAATGTACCAAAACAGATAAGGGGTTTTATCACTTTAATCATGACTGACCATTTCAATGAGAGAAAACCAGCCAAACTCCCTTTAAAGAAGTCTCTAGTTATTTGCCTGCATTTATTTTTTCAACTTTATGTCAGTGACATATAAATGCTGCTTCAGTGTAATAAAGCTTATTTGCTCTTTCAGCCTAATAAAATGAAATCACAGATTTTCAAAAGCATGTGCTAACTTTTCTAAAGTGTAAATAAATTAGCTTTGGCCTTTGGACTAGTAAACGCTTCCTTAAAAGATGTTTTACAGGATGTTTTGTTAATTTCCTTGAATATAACATATAAGGCAGATATCCCCAAAACCCATACATTTTAGTACATTTTCGCAATGTTTGCTTTTTCGGTTTTATCATAACTGTGAAATCAGACCCTAAATAAATGCTACCCTGTTGCAGGTCACAGTAAACGGCACAATCAGAAAGACACAGGCTTGCTGATGGACGCCAGTGGCTTGGTGACCTTGACTGCAGGCTCTGGATGAAATTTCAAGACCCACCAGCAAGGGCTAGTGAAAGCCTGCAAAGTCACTTATTCAAAAATCAAAACATGACAACGATTTCTTTCTTAGAGAACAGGCTCTTGGGCCTGTACTGAAAAATCTCTGATGACATTCCTGTTTCATTCCCTTAAACATGATTTAGAAAATAAAAGCCAGAAGACGGAAAAGGACGTCTTTTGATTAACCAGTTTTGGTGGCTAGATTTCCATTCCAGAATTTGAATACCATTTTCCAAAAGAAGACACCAGATCATCTCTGTATGGAATTGGTAACTTTGTTTGCCGGGTATTTTTCCAGTCACACTCCAGCTTCCATTGCTTCATTGGCTCCTGTTACATTTTCTTCACTTTGAAATCAATGGTGGCATTAAGTTAATCAAAGCTGTTCAACAGAACACCTAAATCGCTTATTTACTAGATTATACATGTTATTTCCTAAGGTGTAAATCCTTCAAAACTAGAGTGCAATGCAGGAGGAAAATCTCAAGCATCTTTTCAAAGGATGGTTTTCTGATGAGCTGGCGACTAGAGGAAGAAAGGGTTTTTAGGTATCAGTCACCCTTTTTGCTTCAATAATAGGAACGCGCAGTGCAGCTGCCTATGTTACAGAAGCTTGAATCTACATGACATGCAACAGGGTAGGTGCTACTAGGGAAATTATATCAATGACACTATAATTTGCCCTTTGCAGAGTAGCTGTGAAGTTATTTGGTCCTGGCGTTCCGTGGAACGGAGCATAGACTTGGGTCCATAGAATATAAATGGAGAGTAGGAGACGCCTTGGTACAAATGAGAAATAAATAGATCCCAGTCAGCCTAGGGAACAAGGAAATTTCTCTGTTTAGTAGAAGTTTCTAGATCCCTAAGGCCACCAGTCAATATAATTTTAACCAGACTGTCCTTCTGCCACTGTTTACACTTGTTATATTGGGCAATTTTCACTAATATTGGAAATTGCCTCATGACTCAAAAGCAAAATGGGTTTTAAATTATTGGCTGCATTACCAAGTTAAGAGAATTGGCTTGGGGTGATTCCAAAGTGACAGCTAAGAAGTTTCATATACACGCTACATTTAAGGGACAATCAACATCTCTAGTAAAGTCTACAAAAATACATTTCCCAGAAGGGTTCAATAGCCAATCAAAGGAAACCATGAACACAATTAGCAGCACCAGGTGTCCAGACACAATGATTTTCGTTTGTAGGAATTACTGAAAATGCTGCTGTTTTCAGCCCAGAGGTCATTCCTTCTTCCTGGTACCTGTGTGTCTAATTGTCAAAGGAAGGATACATCATTGTAAAATAATGGCCAAGTTGTCTTAAAAGTATCTTCTATCTTTTAAAAAGATTAGGTTTAGGATACATTAGAATAAAGCTCAAAGGGCAGGGAGAAATAATTAATTAACAAACTCAATGTAATTCGCTGGGAGCATTCCTGTTCTCCCTGTTCTCTGCACTGTGCCGTACATCCAGCCATCGTCAATGGGCTGCACGTTGACAATGTAGTCGCCGTCTCGAAAGGAGACCTCGTCTTCATCCTGGGCACTGTAATCATACATGGCTCGGTAGGTCCTCTGAGAAAGGAAGAAGGGATTATACGATGAATACCAAAATAGCTACAGTCACAAACTCCAATCACAACACATCAACCCAGACATAAAGTAACTATTAGGAATGTTTTCAAACACATGGATCTCTGGAAATCTGTAAACTTAGCATCTCATCGTGCCGATCTCAAGTTTCCTAGTCTAGCAAAAAGCTTAATATTTTTGGAACAGGGATAGAAAAGTCACTAAATACAACAGCTAGCCCATCAAAAAGTAGGCTTTGAAATAATAAAGCCAAATTCCCCTCAACTTCACATAACCCCAGAAACCTTAGATTATATGTGATTTCATATTCTTCAGAGAACAAAACTCGTCATATGTCAGAGAAGTCCAAATCTCTCCTGGCAATGTACTTTTCTTAAGTAGATGCTAAAAGTGTTTATTTCCTCTTAAAAATATGTAAAACAAATGAAAGAAAAAACCCATAATATATTCACTATATAGGTTTCTGTATCACTGTGGGAGAAATTTAGCATATAAATGTTCTGAATGCTAAGGTACATACTCAATTATACTTATTATATTATGATTATAATGAGTTTTCCTATATTTGTTTTTGTTTAAGGCTAAGCATGTAGCTAACATTAACATCAGACAATCTCAAAATCAAGTATATTCACAGACCGAGGACATTGGCTGGGACCCAAAGAATTTTAGAGCAATTCAAGTTACCGGACAGTATAGAAGAGTTTTCTAGGTGTTAAGGCAAAGACCAAGAGACTATGTCAAGGGCTTGTAGAAGAAATTTCTGCATGAGAAGCCAAGTATAACAAGCAAATGTTGAACACTACTTCCAAATTTTACACTGAATATATGAACCAGTTCTTCAAGATTTCCAATGGGAGATTTGAAGATATATTTTGGCCACATAATTTAGGCTTTTGTGTTCATTTTAAGATGAACTTGTAAATACAACCATCAATATCTGTGCTCCTAAGGCCTGAATAAAGATCATAATCAGCTAGTACCAATCATGAAGCAACAACTAGGATATTGTACTGGTAGATTCTTTGGATGCCTTATTGTTTTATATAATGCTTATTATTGCCTTCCTTTCTCAACAGTTTACCTCTGTAAGCTTTTTGCTTCCTTCAAAAGAGTTGTATAAATGGCAACACATTATCATTTATCTTTGAATGAAAATACACAATATTCAGTCAACTCTATTCCACACGTATTTACACGCTTGAGGTGAAATGGAAAGACCAGATAAGGAGGAACATATCAAATGGACACTTACTAGATTTGGTGAATGCTGCATTGATCTCATGGATGACACACTGGTCTGGTGCATGTAGCCATAGCCTTGGGAATGGCTTTGCTGATAGGCTCCGGGAAGAACAGGTGCTGCGTGTTAAACATACACACACACAAAGATTCCTTAAAGCTAGCCTCGAAACACCCATCCCAAGCCCTCAGAGTGATGTTATGCTCTGCTAGAAGCTTCTGAAACAAAACGCCTTTTCAGTGCTGTGAAATTTGGGTTGCAGTGTTGTAAGTGATCTCTAGATTAGTAGAAATCTTAGTAATTAGGGAAACATAATTTGGCATGCAGTTAAACATACTTTAAACATTCTTGTTGCTCTATTGCAGATGCTATGTTAAAAACATAAACAAAAATTTTTCATACTCCCTTAATGAAATCATGTTTTTATTTGACCATGTGATCCTTTTAGGCATTTTCCAAAAGAAAAATAAGAATTTTAAAGGAATTTAATGACAGAGTATAAACATTTTCACAGGGTATTTCTCATATAACAGATACTGTCAATATTTCAAGACATACAGCTGAATGTTACTTTTACAAAGATGGCAAACATAATGTATGTTTAGCAACATATGTTTGTCAGTAGTTAAAAAGTCTACACCCTTTAAAGAAACATTTACTCAGAATATATGATGTCTTTGTTTTATGAATAAGTGATATTCAGCTGACTTATCAAGACTAAGTAAGTCAGCTAAATATGTTACAAACACCCGAGAAAACAAACCACTTAAAGAATTTCATAAATATTATTGTTCTATATTAAAAAAAATCAAAATAGTATTCCTTTAGTTTATGCTCTCCAAACCACTAATTATGACATTCAAAAGGCATAGTTCATGTTTTGAAGAGCTCAAAATTCTAGAGAAGCCAACACAGAAGCTAGATTTTAAAATCCCACAGAATCAGCAGACATAAGCTTGTGTGTTTCTCTGTGAATGTATTTAAGTTACCTGTGGCCAGAAACATGAGTTATAAATGAGGGTATTTTCATAGCAGGCCCTTCATTGTCTTTTGAATAATTTATATGCTACATTAGTAAATTTATATGTCATATGTGCTATAAAATACATAATAGTTTGCCATTTTTGTTTAATCATATTGAGTATATAAAGTAATTATAATGGGTTGATTTATTCAGAACAGTTTTTATAGTAAAAGAAATAAGATTTAATTCTGGGTGTTATGAATAATTAATATTTTATAAGAAGAAAATTCACTCTAATGATAAGTGAGATCATCAATACTTTAAATAAGTTTAATCATCAGAAAATTACAAATCATTGAATATGTTCTCCAGATGATAATTACATTAGATGGAAAGGAGATTTTTTAAAATAGTTCTTGAGTGAATTTATCTTATAAAGTTATTACAAATTATGCTTAATGTCCAGATAGGGGACCAAAAAGAAATAGCCAAGATCTCCACTTGAATTATAGTATATTGTAATCATTAAAACATCATTAAATATTAAATACTTCAGAAAAGAACACTTTTTAACTTTATCAACAAAATTTAAGTATTTGATGTCAAGAGATATTAAGGATATTGTCAAAATCCACTCACGAAGAAAAAAGAATGAAATTCCCATAGATCTCCAGGCCCTCTTAATTAGCTAAGTAAGGAGGCTTTTCTATGTATTAGAATCTGGAAGCACTGACCATTTATTCATTCACTGCCTCTCCTCTCAGCAAATATTGATCAGTTAATGTGTGCACAGAGCACACTGCATTTCCTGGCACACAGTAAGCCTTCACAAATGGTAACAATAATTATTACTATCCACTATGTTCAAGGCATGCCAGGAAGGAAAGGGGTGACAGAAACAATTGCTCTCCTGGAGCACGGATGGGCCTGGGCACCTGGCCTTTTACCCAATTAACAAAATGTCACTGGCTACTCAGGGTTACTTCCAATTAAATTATTCAGGCTGCATACCCCAGACTGTTAGTCTTGCACTGATTTTTAAACAACTCATGGCTTCATTAATTACTACTTGAATCTATTCGTGAAGTTTTAAAGATTAAATATAAACATCGCTGTAAATTTATAAAAATTAAATTCGAATTCATTGTTATAACATTTAACTATGAACTTTAAGTTTTGATGTGTAGAGGTAAGCACAGCCATCTTTAAATGTTTAGGAAAAACTTTCAGGAACGGACACTGAAAAAACTGGGAAAATAGGCTATCTCATACTCTGTAATACATTTAGGTTCACCTAGTTTATACATCGCAGTCCCAGCTTAGTGCCCGTTAAGTACTGACAATTCAAGAATGTTGCTTAACAATGTTCTCTCATTTTGGCTTTCAAAAAATAAGTATGCTGGGTATGGTGGCTCACATCTGTAATCCCAGCACTTTGGAAGGTCAAACCAGGAGGACTGCTTGAGCCTAGAAGTTTGAGACCAGCCTGAGCAACATAGCAAGACTCTATCTCTACTAAAAATAACAATAATAATTTAAAAAATAGCTGTGTGTGGTGGTACATGCCTGTGATCCCAGCTACTTGGAAGGCTGAGGTGGGAGGATTGCTTGTACCTGGGAGATAAAGGCTGTCATGTGATCTCACCACTACACTCCAGCCTGGGGGACAGAGAGCGACCTTATCTCAAGGTCGCTTTATACACACACACACACACACACACACACACACACACATACACACAAAAGGTATATTTATGCCTACTCCTTACTTATATCTGACTTTCAAAGGGAACCTGTGCTACTGCCAAATATAGCAAGAAAAGAAAGTAATGTATTAGTCCTAAATGTGTATATGTTGGAGAGAGCAAGGAAGAGAGTTTAGAATGAGAAACTTTCGAGTAAATATAACCATCTATCTAGCCCTTGCAGTTTATCTTCATGCCTTTATTGATTATTCTCATTTGCCCTCTAGCTGAATTACTTATTAAAAAGTTTCTTTGATATTATAAAACCTACTTATCTACCTTATACTTGGAACAATAAAAGAGTTTTTAGGGAACTCCTACAGGGGTTATAAAAAACCATAACTGATGGCTCACGTCTGTAATCCCAGCACTTTGGCAGGCTGAGGCAGGCAGATCACGGGAGGTCAGGAATTTGAGACCAGCCTGGCCAACATGGTGAAATCCCAGCTCTACTAAAAACACAAAAAATAAGCTGGGCGTGGTGGCGTGCGCCTGTAATTCCAGCTACTCAGGAGGCTGAGGCAGGAGAATCACTTGAACCCGGGAGGAGGAGGTTGCAACGAACCGAGATCATGCCACTGCATGCACTCCAGCCTGGGCAACAGAGTGAAACTCTGTCTCCAAAAAAAAAAAAAAAAAAAACAAAACAAAACAAAAAAACAGACAAACATAATTGAAAGCCTAAAGAAACCAACTTAGTAAAAGCAAATGGCAATTTAAGAAGACTTTGCATAAACTCTGCTTTTCTATTGTTACGCTACATGAATGCCTTTTTTTGAAACTTAGGTGAAACAAGGAAAAGGAAATCTAAAGCAATGGCTTTACATTGGGTTCATTGGGAATTTGGTTGAAAGACAGCTATTCCATGTATGACATTTCTTCCATGAACACGTGGAATCAAAGGATTTTTTAAAAAACAAGATGTTAAGTTAATTTGGCAACAAAGAAGGGCTTTTTAATCTAAGAGTAAAAGCATAGTGCCCTGTTTATTAAACTAGTAATCAGGTACCATTAGCATTGCTACAGATGGGGGACAATGGCTTTTCTAACCAAGGAGTTTGAGTTTGACAGGTTGTTTAATTTCAACAACATTAAGGCCACAAATAAATTTTTAGTTATACTAAGTCAATGAAAATACACACAAGTGTGACTCAACTTTCATTTCACATTGGTAAGATTTATTGACCAAAGATCTAGAAGCTGACTGAAGCTCTTAGCATTTCAGGCTCTATTTGGAATATTCTACAATATTTATAATATCAAAATATCTCTTCTACTGTACAATAAAGTACTTCCACAGATAGCCTACACTAACATTTTCTGTTTAATGTTTATTATTAAAATGGAAAGAGATAAAACCAAGATAAAGAAGTGAATGCATGTGAAGATCATAAAGGAGAAGATGGAAAGGGAGGAAGAAAAGTTTTTTTTGTTTTGTTTTGTTTTTTGAGATGGGGTTTCACTCTGTCACCCAGGCTGTAGAGTAGTGGTGTGATCACAGCTCACTTCAGCCTCAAACTCCTGGACTCAAGTGATCCTCCTGCCTCAGCCTCCCAAGTAGCTGGACATACGCCACTATGCCCAGCTAATTCTTTTTTTTTCCTACAGACAGGATCTTGCTACATTGCCCAACCTGGTCTCAAATTCCCAGTCTCAAGCAATCCTCTTGTCTCAGACTCCCAAAGCACTGGGATTACGGGTATGAGCCACTGCACCCTGCTAAGAACATTTTAAGAGGCTTACCAAATCTAAAACTGGAAAAAAGAGGACATATATGTAAACACACAAAGATTAGAGTAAATGAAAGGAAGAAATGTACCCACAATAAAGGTTGAAGAGTACTCAAAAGGAAGTTCACTGTGGGGGATGTACGCAGAGTGCGTGAAAGAAGAGAATATGATTAAGTGTCCTTGGTGTGCATGGTGCTTTGTATGTCGTCATTTAATCACTGCGACAACTATCTAAAACAGATACCATTCCCACTTTACAGAACAAAATACAACAGAGGCTGAGAGACTGAACAGGAAGGCAGCAGAAAAATTATTTGTGTAGTGAAGCCACAGTTAAGGTTTCAAGTCATCAAAGATAAGGGGAAGGTTTCGAAGGCCCCTCAATGACTATACCGTCGATGGCCAAATTCTGAATACAAAGAAAGAAAGAGAAAAGAAAGAAAGAAAGAAAGAAAGAAAGAAAGAAAGAAAGAAAGAAAGAAAGAAAGAAAGAAAGAAAGAAAGAAAGAAGAAAGAAAGAAAGAAAGAAAGAAAGAAAGAAAGAAAGAAAGAAAGAAAGAAAGAAAGAAAGAAAGAAAGAAAGAAAGAAAGAAGAGAGAAGAGAAAGAAGAGAAAGAAAGAAAGAAAGAAAGAAAGAAAGAAAGAAAGAAAGAAAGAAAGAAAGAAAGAAAGAAAGAGAA